AGAAACCGGGTTTCGATACCCGTGGTAGGCAGAGCACAGATAGCCCTTTGTGTAGCTTTGTGCATAAATTCAAACAAAAAATACATGTTATATTACTCCTTATTTTGAATGTCTAACTCTACAGCCAACCTAAACTACTTAGGACAATATATATATATATATGTATTTATTATTCTGTTTCTACACGTCAATGACTACTGTGCATGTCTTTTTAGAATGAAATTTATACTCGAGTAACTTGTTTTCAAAATCTAGTTTTTGGTTCGTATTAGTCTCATTTTACGTATCTTAAAACTTAAAAGTTATTTCATGATACAACAACAACTTCATTTTTCGTCAATATCTTTATTATTATTATTTTCCCAGGAAATGAAGATTTTGCAGGTCAAGATTGCGTTTTCCGTATTTCTCAGAAAAAGGTAAACGTCTCTAACATTTTAACTTACGATTGAGGAAATAATTATTGATGTAAGATACCGTTATTAAACGATATTTAGTTTGCTTTAAGCTTAAAATATATTTATGTTACAACTGTTAAAATACCTCGAAACTTGAATTCATTGAGTTAAAAACAACGTTTCTATTTTCTACTCAGCACTCGTTTAGATTTTTACGTAAAATTTATATCAAAGTGGCACGTCGAAACTGAGCAGAAGCTAAAGCATTAAGTATTTGGAGATTTATGAAAAAAGACGTGGAAAATGTCAAGAATAAAGACACTTGTAAAATAAACAAAGTCGTAAAAACTTAAATTATGACTCAATCATATCTGAACTCGAGAAAAATATTTTAAACCCCTAAAACAATTGTTAGAATAAAAGTGAGCAGTGAACCAAAATAAAATTCTTATTATTTTAAAACAAATTCATTATTATTCAACTACAACTAATTGCAGATGGAGAGTAATTGTACATCTTTTGACTTTGTTTAAACAGTTAGACCGTACCTTTTATATCATTATTTTTCACTTTCTTTCATTACTTTACCTGTGATTTGCAAGTTAATTAAATCCCAGTTTCCTTTAGTTAGTATTTCTGTAGTTATCGTCCAGCAAGTTTATACCGTTTGCAGATATTCTACATGCGATATATATAAATATATATTTCTTTTTTGCTTTCTTTTCTCAAGGGCGAATTGAACGCATTTATGATTAATTATATTACATTATTTTTATCACTGATTAATTTGGTATTCCATCCATTTTCTGGCATGTTCATCATTTTTGAAGTTTATATATGAATATATATATATATATATATTTGTGTGTGTACTACTTCAAAACTTTACATATCACATAAATATGTAGTTGACATTAAACATGTTTTTTCTTAAAAATACAAATATAGTTTTATAATATATATATATATATATATATTGTGTGTGTGTGTGCTCTTTCACTCGTTAAATTACTAAAAAATTAATTTTTTCATAATGTAACTGAGTATGTCAACACCTGTCATATGGGAAGTGCAAGGAATCATACAGAACAAAAACAACGTTATAATGAGATGAAAATTCCAAATTATTCTTGCATTACCAGTCCTCGTTGTCATTCTTAAGTCATAATGGATAATGTCTGTGTCCATAAAACCAAAACGCTTTGAGGATATTCCATCTATCACACAAAATCCCGAAGCCGATTCATACTCGTTAGTAACTAAGGAGAATCCATTAAGGGTTGGGAGTTGAGTGCTTGAACCCACAACGTCTCATCTTCTGCTGCCTTTTGCTGTTTGCAGCCAGATGTGGGAAGGAATTTACACTTAATATTTAAATATAATCTTAAAGTAGACTTCAACCATCTTAAGTTCCCCAATGTAAAACTACCAACCCTAAACTGACTCTCCTTAGTTGCTGGCGAGTTTGACATTGGCGTCGGAATTTTGTCTGATAGATGGAATATTTCCAACGCATTTGGGTGCTATGGCCACAGAAATGGCCCCTTGTTACTTAAGAATAACAACAAGGACTGGTAACGGAAAAATAGTTTTGAAATTTCTTATCATTATAATGTTGTTATTGTTTTGTATTAAGTTCATTATTGGTATATAGTGCTCATTTTAATCGCCTATGGACAATTAATGTATTTGATAGTATTAGATTTATTGATTTACATATATATATATAATGAAAATCTATAGTATGGCTCTTTGTTATAAGACGATGCTGTATAAATAAATCATAGCAGTGTAAATAATTATGTTTAATCTCCAGGTGAGGAATTTACTGGAGGAGATGATGTATCAACTTCAATGGGACTTGGATCACACTGATAAGAAAGTAGAACTTGGTGCAGTCCAAGTGTCTCACAATACAAAAGATAAATCCATAAATATAACCCAGAAATCGAGGCAATCATATCAGACAACTGTCTACTACAGTAGAGATGCCGGGAATTATTTAGTATCAGCCACTTGGACAACTATGTTAGAGGAGTATAAGAGTAGGGTAAGTGGGTTCTCGTATTTAATTTTAGTTACGTTTTATTCCCAATGTTATTTTTCACCCGGTTCCTCAAGTAGTTATTAAAAATGTGTTCAGAGGCGAAATGGTCAATTTATGGTCAAACATAATTTATCACACTTTCTTAAATTGGCCAAAATCCACTCATCTGTTTAATGTAAGTCTTCGTCATGAGCTTTCGTCAGTATTTTTTAGACTTCCTGTATAGTTTTTACCTATACATACGTTGTTGAATTGTCAGGGCGTGATTACCAGTTGAACAAGTTACCAACTACTACTAGAATTGCAATACTGATAATAAAAACAGTTATGTTTAAAGATAATAATATATATATAACTCAGCAGGATTTCAAATATTAAAATATAAAACAATCTACCACAAAGAGGATATAAATGGGACCCATCAATCAAAGAAACAACTGATCATCACAATATTTTTGCTCTCGTACTTAATACAAAGAAAACCACAACCAGAGACATCAGGGAAACTAGATGGGCACTCGGTAGAATGCATACTTCTGCCACGCAGCGTTGATCACATTCGGCTCTCAAAAATACAAAAATGTGTCCGTATGTCCGTCGTTATCAACTGAGACAGACCATTTTTGGCAGAACAATGAGGAATAACGTTCTACGTATGTCCACTAACTTTCATCAAAACCCGATCAGTTTTGATTGAGTTATAGAACCAAAATAGTGTGAAAAATCGGTCCCCACGTTAACAGATAGTTTTTATTTTATTTTCGTGACCTTGATGTGACCATTACCTTCCAATAGCTAATTACTTCTAGGTTAGGTCATAGTTCAAATGCATACCAACGTTCGTCCAAATCTATTCAGCCGTTTTCGAGAAATCTAGCTGACAAATACACAAAGAAACACATACGCACACAAAGGTGAAAACATAAACTTCGGTGGCAGAGGTAACAACACACTACTGAGACGACACCAGACAACGGAGCTGTTAGCATCAATAAACCACTTTAACAAAAATGTAACACTAAACAAAACACAGGGCATGTAAAACAGGTAGTTTACATTTTCAATCAGTCAGCTTATGGATAACCATAATTAGAGTGCATGCCCAAATAGTTTTGCTCAAAATTGTGAAAGAAAAAAATAGTACTCATTACCCTACGTTACCCAGAAGCAATTTTTCTTGCTATTTTGTGATTCACACGTCCGTTCTTACTCCTCAAACTACGTCATAGATAAATATTCTTAATTGTATTACCATGTTACACAAAAACAATATAATCTGTTTTTCTATATAACAAATATTTTAACTGATTTAATGTGTTCATACAATCATTCTTATTCGTTTTTCTTCGTTGCATACAGTCATTCTTACTCGTTATGCTATGTTATACACAAAGTAACTCGTTACTTTGTGATATTCATAGACCCGTCTTTACTCGCTAGCCTACGTTAAACATAAAAAAAAATATTTGTAACGCAGCGTTACACAAATATACTCTCTCTCTTTATTTTTCGTTGCATAGAAAAAATTCTTATCTCTTTCCTATGTAAATAAAATATTCTTCAACATATAATTGTGTTCAGAAATATTCTAATTCACCAATGTGTACTAAAGAAAAAGATATATTCTACTATTGTGTGTTACACAAAAACATTATTGCTTGCTAGTGTGCGTTAACTAATTCTCGCTTATTATTGTTTACTAGCTGGAGTACCCGTCTGTAGGGTGGGTGAAATAAAAACTCGTTTCTAAGAAATTATAGGAAATTGTTCTTCTATATTTTTCTTAATATAATTAACAGTAAATGTGCACTAAAAATACATAAAGGTATCAAAAACTGAAAAGAAAGACATGCTGTTTTCAAGAATTCTAACAATGGTTGCATATTTCATTCTAATGCTAATGGATATACAACATTGGTAGTTTTTTCGAAATTAGATATTAAATTAGATGGGGTCCAGCCCCCCTCATGATCTTCCTCATATCATACTGTATCACTCTGTCAAGTTTGGTACTAATTGACCAAGAAATGTGGAAACATATAAGGAACAGATATATACGCATACACATATTGACGTTTATTCATATGGATGGGGGACACAACCTCCCATGACCGTCTTCATGTCATCCTGTATCACTGTGTCAAGTTTGGTGCTAATTTATCAAGAAATGTAGAAACGTATAAGGAACAGATATACACGCATATATATATATATTATCGTTTATTTATATAGATTACGTATTATTTCTCTATTCGTTATTGTATATTATGCAGAAACATTCTAACCCTTTTCCTTTACGCATATATATATTATCGTTTATTTATATAGATTACGTATTATTTCTCTATTCGTTATTGTATATTATGCAGAAACATTCTAACCCTTTTCATTTACGCATATATATATTATCGTTTATTTATATAGATTACGTATTATTTCTCTATTCGTTATTGTATACTATGCAGGAACATTCTAACCCTTTTCCTTTACGCATATATATATTATCGTTTATTTATATAGATTACGTATTATTTCTCTATTCGTTATTGTATACTATGCAGGAACATTCTAACCCTTTTCCTTTACGCTGCACACAACTTTCTTAGTTGTAATTCTGTCTAACTTGATGTTACACAGAATTCACACCATCAAATTGGAGACATTAGTTAATATCCTGATAAACATTTAAAATACTTTATAGTCATGACAAAATCGTTATTTAGTTCCTTAAGGTAGTTAAACTTACATTGTTATTGTAATTGTGACTAACATATTTTAAATACCGTCATACTTCACACATCATTAGATGTTAATCTATTTTTTCAGAGGTCCAATTGTTAAATTGTGTAGTTTAAGTTTTATTTTGTTATGTCATTAAAGTACCATCACAGTGTAAATATCCTTAAACAATAATTATATAATTTAAAAAAAAACATTATTTTTATGTTACCGCCATCGCACGCTATAAAAACATAAAAAGTATCTATTTTTGAAACACACTCTTTAAATTAACTCATACTTAAAATCAGTTTCAGCAGGATGAATTACCATTATGTTTTCCTTACAGAATCGGACTTTTCGAGAGGTGGTGGAATATGAAATTCGATGGGATTTCGATGATTCACATGATATTATGGCTGCTGGATTAGTCACAGAATATCAAAGTAAAATTATTTCCAGAGGAAGCTGTCAGACTCTACTTCAGCCTGATGGTATATTTTATCAACTTGAGCAGAAAAACAGAGTCCTTTACCTCAAAACTCCATGGCATCACATGACAATGAAATGGATATCCATGTTTCATGAAAGGTCACTTTATGTGAGTTTCATTATGATAATGAATTATTATTTAAAGTATTCAATTTACAGCTAACCCTATTAACCTTTAGGATCTTACTTTTGACCTCAAGCTTAGCTAGAACAAACGGTTTCATCATATTTACATGAAAATAAACATATGTGAATAACGACTTACTGCCACGGCTAAGATTGCTTGACAAATCATTATTCTAACCATCTGCAGGGTTTGGTATAGCAAGTAGTTAACGTGGCGACTGTGGTCGGAGATTTAGTTTCAAACCTATAATGTACTGCTGAATGTGCTTTTTAATTTCAACTATGGGCTTATCATTAAGTTGAAATTCAATTGCGCATTTCGGTTGAAATGCCGTGTAAACTGTGAGTGTTGTTAACTCAGCAATTCTAAATTAACGATAATTACAGATGTTGAGTACGTTATATTAAAACGGTTTTGCACTTGAACACGTTATTACGGTCCATGTCGTCATGCATAGTTATGATATATATGACAGATATGCATCTTGACAATAAATCTGCAGATTAGTTTCTATTAAAATTTTCCGTTGAAAGGCTGCCATATCCAAAGTACACCACTTCTCCCTGTCGTCTTTACATAGTTTATCTACTTTACAAAGACAACGGTTTATCATCGCTTATTTAAATGTATTTGGGGTATAACTTCATATCAAATAACATGAACACTTGTTTCATTCTCCGGCTACATGAGGTATGAGACAGTTAAGTGGATATGTCGTGGAAGCAACTTTTGAATACGTGACTTGTGTCATTTTTCTTGATGGAGATTCTTCCGAATTGTATTATTTACTGTTATTTGGGTATGATTTGTTGCAGGTCTCTTTCTGGAGGGCCCTGGAGCCCCAAGTTGATTCATATTCCTTTGTGTCCCAGTGTCATTAAGTATAAGATATGCTCCATGTTGAAATTGTAAATCCCAGATCTGAATACAAATTTATGACATGAATGTATGAAAATTTTGCGTCTTTAAGGGCTGCTTCATAAACTTCCCAAAAGTGTTTGTTTGTTTTTTAATTTCGCGCAAAGCTACACGAGGGCTATCTACGCTAGCCGTACCTAATTTAGCAGTGAAAGACTAGAGGGAAGGCAGCTAGTCCTCACCACCCACCTCCAACTCTTGGGCTACTCTTTTACCAACGAATAGTGGGATTGACCGTCACGGCCGAAAGGGCAAGCATGTTTGATAGGACAGGTATTTGAACCGGCCACCCTCAGATTGCGGGTCAAGAGCCCTAACCACCTGGCTATGCCGGGCCTCCCAAAATTGATAACTTTTTATGGCATCACACAACGTACGTAATGAAAAGAGTGCCACAATGAAGTTCTAATGCATTTCATTCCACAATTACTTTATTTCAGCTGTATTCTTCACGTGATTTGCCTATTTGTATATTCAACATCATTCTAATATAAAGAGTCCTTTGGATGCTTGAAACTTGAGATATCAGCCATTTACCTCAAGTGTCACACAAAGTAATGTTCAAGATGAAAATACCATCTGCTTGTGAACCAGCTTTTTACAACATTTGACATTCACTCGTCCAATTTTCTTTCAGTTTTGCAAAATCTCTTTGAAACTGTCCATCTAAATGCATTTTAGTTATTGTTTCTTTTGCTTTTTTTCAATATCGGACAAGAGAAACATCATTTAATATCTGCAATATCCCTCAGTTCTCGCTTACTTCATGGCTCTACTAAAGCCAATTACCTTCTAAATAAAGTTTTGAATTAATTTTTTGCCATTATTATTCATAGTGTCATATTAAGTTCGCAGATGTGCGTATTTCTTAGAGTGAAACGAGAATTGGTTTGTGGGCCAAGTTGATACTGCATTTACAAAATAGACACATAAACAGAAAAGTCTGCATTCCATAATCAAATTTTGTAATTGTATATATAATTATATATATAATGAAGTAGTTTTCTTCCTCTAATTTCAATACATTTTCATTTCCCAGTCATAGTTCCTTTATTTGACACATACATAGTGAGTAATGTGACTCTATAGACGTGTACCTTACAAAGGTATGTGTATGCATACACACACACACAAGCTTTGGTTTGTAGGAGACTTAAACACAGTTGTATAATAGTTTCAATGTTACACGTTTTCATTACAAATCTTTAACACACTTGGACCATTCTCCACGCCATGTTGCCATCCCTGATGATACACACCCAAAGCTACTAGCACTAAATAAAATCAACAATTCGACAAATATCAGAAATATATGAGAGAACAAATACTGGTAAATATGTACTGTTGATCTCTTCGTTTTTCTAGCAGAAACCAAAATCAGTACATAAGATGATCTTGAAAGACTTGAGTATCGTTCATATATGTTCTTTTAACGACTATTTTTATTGCAAATGATAAATTGTCCGCACTCACCTTTATTCCTCATTAATGTGCATATTTGATCATCACAACATACAAATTTCTATTTTGCCACATCTACATTTGCATCTTACACTTTCTTCAGGGCAGGATTAAAGGTGATTTTCTTGTGAAACTATAGTGAAACGTACCTCATGGTGATACATCGAAGATTAGTAACTCAGTATGTTTAACAACGTAATGGTGTTCTAAGTATTCTAACTATCACCACACACTGTGTCTATCAATCAAGACTGAGAGGATAATATAATATATTGTATTTCACAATGGTATAATACCAACAGATTTGAACGTAAGTATTTTAACTACTTTTAAACTAATCAGAACTGCAACCTCTCCATGTATTTTAGAAGACATTTTGTCAGTCCCACAGCTGTTACTTTTATGTTGCCTACAAAACGTCGGTAAAGGTAATAAGACGTAAGGGCAAGAAAGCTTCAGATTTCTGTCTTGTTCTTAATCTTGGCCAGCATACTAGTGCTTTTATTTTAGCAATCGAAGTAGTAGCTCATGTGCTACAGAAACTGAAAGGGGTGATATTAATACATTAATTAATTAAAGTAGTAGCTCATGTGCTACAGAAGCTGAAAGTGGTGGTATTAATACATTAATTAATTAAAGTAGTAGCTCATGTGCTACAGAAGCTGAAAGTGGTGGTATTAATACATTAATTAATTAAAGTAGTAGCTCATGTGCTACAGAAGCTGAAAGTGGTGGTATTAATACATTAATTAATTAAAGTAGTAGC